ACTAGAAGTTACTTTAATTTTATCGCATAATAATCATATAATTCTATAGTTAACATCGTTATATTACGTAAAATTTGTGTTGAAAAGATGAGAAAAACAACGAGGAAACGTTTAGGTCCGATATAAACGTAATACATGTGACAAAAAGGTTTTATTTCCGGGTTATTGATTCCGGTTGGGGTCATCACAATGCTGTCGATAAGGCAAACTGTCTCGAAATCATTGGACCATATACATGATACGTTTTCCGGGTATTTAGTTTTACAGTTTCCGATATTATTATCGTTAATTTAATTAATTAAGGACCACTTAACAGGTAAGAAAAGGTATTTTAAGTGGTAAATTCCCGTATTGTTACTTTTAACCTACTGTTACATAGTATTATATACTTTAACAGCACTCAGTATATATCTGTGCTGTTAAAGTGTAACAGTTAAGCTAATAAAGACCAATTTTACGAATCTTTATAAGGTTTTAGTTAATGAAAATTAACTATTTTTCATTTATAAACGTATAAAATGTTTAAAATATGCTACTGATTGTTTAATGCTTTTTAACTGAATATGCAATGATGTACAAGTCGACCCCCCTATACACTGTTGATTTTTCCATTTTATATGAATTCTATGTTGTACGAGTCACTTAGATTTTACAAATACGTGTGCCAGGCTGTGGACGGCTCACGTATTTGTAAAATCTAAGTGACTCGTACAACAAGGAATTCATATAAAACGGAAAAATCAACAGTGTTATAGGTGGGGTCGACTTGTATCATATCAAATGTTTAAGAAATGTAATGTTAATGGTTAATAAAAATTAATTTATTCGTTAAAATATTATATTATTAATATATTGAGTATATTATTTTGAAATTTAATCACTTTTATGTAGTTAATATTAAAGCAAAATAACAAGTAACGACCCACAGGTGTATGACTTATTTTTTGATTTTTTTGAACGTAAAGAGTAATAATAATTATATAATAATAAATGAGAAATAAAATTTAATTAATTATACTTTTATGTTTTATATGTTTTACTTAAAACAAGTAAAAATATAACGATTTTCTTAGAGATTATAACTAAGACTCAAAATAGGCCCATATATTGTATAGCTCTGTATCATCAAATGTATTTTTGTATTTAGATGTATAAAAAATTTGATAAAATTTATTTAAATTTCACAGTTATATCTGCTTAATCAAGCTAAATCTTCTTCCTGGTTCCTTAAACAATTATTGAACATTGATCCTGGCACTTAAACTAGGAAAGTTTTTAGGGAATAATAATGTTTTGATATCTTTTTTCTTTTTTTAGAAAAGAACTATGACCTAGTTAATAACAAAAACTTTGTATACATATATAGATTTACTTATGAAACTCCCACAAGTTAATTAAATAAATGTTAAATAAACATTAACTATGACATGTAAAGTCAAATTGAGAAAAATCATCATTAAAAGAATTCCTCACATTGGTATGTTGTAACAATATAAAAATATATTCATTAAAGAACAATCTATACCACTTAATTAATAATTATTATGCTTAAATTATCATAAATTTATCTAAAACCAAATTTCTGTTAGTACCATAAAGGATCTTTATGTATAAAGGATCAAAAAAAAGTAATGCCTGAAGACAAAACAACTAATTAAACAATTGATAATTAATAAAATTTTTATTATTTCGTCATAGATGAACTTTTATACGCAGTTATATAAAGTAAAAATGGTGAAAAATGGACAAAACTATCAATTTTTCTAAGAGAATCCCTCAAGGATTCGCATCAAGTAAATTCATGAACACCTCGGTTTTATATGGAGAATGCATTAAATGAAACATTTAAAACATGGAAACAAATATGTTAAACATTATTTAACAATATCTAAACAATGTTGGCTTATATTTTGGATTGAACTGATATATGAAGGCAACGCGACACTTGGGCGATCTGTCAAAAGAGATGTTTTTCTGGGAGGACTTTCTATAGGAAACTGGCGTTAAGCACGTGAATAAACCAGGAAAAGACGTAATCAGTTTGTTGATAAGGTGCGAACCCGCAACCATCCATCAATGGTCAATGATTGGCATTACTTTAAAAAATAGCTATTTTATTGATTTATAACATTATTACATTCTATATAAGCACAAATTACAAGCGAAATATCGAGAATAAATATCACGAAAAAGTAGCGATTAGTTAATTCGAATTTCTGCATTGCAGAAATAAATGTGCGCGATTTTCTTTTATTTAATTACTAAGCAAACTAAAATATAGTTTTATCTTCTATTAAAACAACTACAGGAACTTGGAAACTTGAAAGTTTTCACTGACAATCCACTGATTGTGTTATAAGTCAAAAGATGGCGTTCAGCAAGATGTTGCGTGCAGAAGGAATTTGAATTTGCTGACTCTTCCTGACTGCATAAGGGACTTCTGCAAATAATTAAAATAATATTATATAAATATGAACATATTTATAAATTTATAAAATATCTTAGTTTAATTTTCAATCTTGTAACCCTACATAAAACGGTCACCAATTCGCCATTCTCACTTTTCCATTGAAGCTCAGGTTCACTTTTAATGTTAATTGTTATCTGTTAATTAATTAATTAAATATATAAAATACCTGCAGGTGTCTAGCTGAATAGATTGTTGTAAATCTTCAACATTTACAACGATTCTCCAAATACCATCAACATCTTTGGCTCTAAGAGGAGAGATCAAGGACTTGACACTAGGACAATCTGAAGCAACTTCACCTTCTTGAATGATCTTCAATTTTCCCACTTCTCCAAATTCTGGTTTGATGTTTAATACATTGCTAAGAGGCTTGGAATCGTTCTTTATTGCTTTAAGTATCTCATCTCTGAAAAGATCTTCAGCTAATTAAAATCAATTTTAAAAAAAGAAATCATGGATTTAAAGGAACACTTACTTTGGATAATCTTCATCTTCTGTGCAATAAGAAATACCTTCCACTGCACACGTTGGTACTGGATTTGGTTCCTTCTTAACAGAAATTGTCTTGGTTAGAATTCGAGTAGGATTGCCGTTTTCGTCTTTGATGATTTTTTTATCGACTAAGATTACATCTTCATCCGAATCTTCTAATTGAATGGCTTTGAAAATCTTCAAAACTGCAGGATTTGCTGATGAAATGCTAACTTTTTCAGACAGAGGGCGAGTTGTGAAACGTTTCGGACGAGATTTTACTCTTTGTGTTGGTTCCTGCCTGAATCCTTCAGTATATTCCGGATATTCGATACTACTTACTTTATACACTCCTTCGTAAGAATCTTGATCGGGACCATTACTAGATGAATTTTCATCATCACTTCTGACTGTTTTCTGACTTGGTTTTTCATATTCAGTAATATATTCAATTTCTTCACGATAGGGTTGTTTCTTTCTAGGACGTTGTTTCGGTTGCTCTTCTACGTGTTCTGATCGTGAATTTTGATACTGCGGCCTATTTCTTCTAACTTGAGGCATATTTTTATACTGAACGGAAGGATAAATGTTTCTGTTATTATATTTTTCATAATTTCTTTGAGAAAATTGTTCTTGAGGTCTTCGATAAAGATTCCTTGGTTCTTGTTGAACATGTTCTCTCTGTGGTCTATCATAAACACTTCTAGGCTCTTGAGGTAGTTGTTCTTCTTCTTGTGGTTTTTTGTAAATACTTCTAGGCTGTTGTTCGGGTTGTCTTTCTGCGCTATCGTCGAAATAAACCTTTGTTTTTGTAATTTTTGTCACTCTACGTGGTGGAGGTGGAGGTGGTTCTTCCTCGTCCTCTTCTGAATCGTAGTCTTCTTCTGTTTCACTTGCAATTTCTTTCCTTTGTTTTGTTTTAGTTGGATTTGGTCTTCGTAAATATGTTGATTGTGTTTGATGAAGATATGTTTCTGGTGTGTTTACTAATGCTGTCAAAGAACCGGGAACATTTTTAAAATGCTTCTTAGCGGGAAATTCATCTCTGTAAGCGTTTTCTCGATGTTTCTGATTTCTAATTTTGGGTTCATTGTCCACTCTTTCTTTTCTTTCGGGTCTCTGCCATCGTTCTTCATACCTTTCAGACTGATATTCCACACGAGGTCTTTTATTTGGCACTATTTCTCGTTGATTATTTCCTGGATGTATCCTTTTCTCTTGAGGTTGATGAGTGTAATGAGTTTCTATAACTTCTTCGTTATTCTTATCTTTAGGGCGTTCACGAATAGTATAATGTACTTCACGATAGATTTTCTTCCGAGGGATGTTACGCCCTTTTGCTCTTTTGGGAGAGTGTACTCTATCGACTGGTCTACCGGAAGATCCTTTAACATTCCCTTTTTTGTAAATACTCGGTACAAACGGTTTTGAAGTAGAAAATCTTTGAGATTTGCGTGTTGGACGAGGAGGAGCAGGTGGACGTGGCACGGGTGTTGCAAAATCAGGATCCAGATCTCTAAATGGGATTGGTCGAGTTCTAAGAGGTTGTTTATTCTTCCTTTTTGTATTTTTCGATTCTCTAATAGTAAGTACCGTTTTTCCTGTAGATTTAGGCTGTTCCTCGGGTTTCGGTCTGGGTTTCTGCTTGGGTGATTCAGTTTTAGTGGAGGAATAATTATATGGCGTATGATTATATTTCGGAAATTCATATTTCTTTTTCTCGTAGATATATTGTGGAATGTGTACTGGATAATAGATTTTTATAGGAATGTGTTCGTAACGATGATACACAGGACTATTTACTCTATACATTCTCTTATAGGTTGGTTCATCAGAGGTGTCATCCTGTACGAAATCATCGTTGTCTTTCGGATCATAGCGAAAGAATTCATCTTGATTATCATCTTTAGCTATAACATAGTGAACTTCTTTCCACAAAATCATCACAAATATTAAGTGTAGACATTTGGCCGATAGCTAAAAATGTATATTATTATAAGGATTATAAAATAATTAATATAATTAATTAATCTAAATGNTAAATTTTTATAATTAATTGTTTAATTAAGGTTCAAATATGGTTCAACGTTTGACGTACAGAAGAAGATTGTGTTATAATACAGCTTCAAACAGAAGAAAAATGTATGTTATTTTCTCATAGCTCTTAATTAAGATTATTAGATTTTAAGGTATAGAAAATATACATTAATTTTATATCATAATACTTTAAGACCATGTGTAATAATATGTACATGCATTAATTCAAAATAAGCAATTTTCAGTTTCCCAAGTTATTAATTAAGTACATTCTTACTTAATTCCACTTAAATTTGAAAGAGCATTCATAAAGTTATATGAAAGTAAACACTCATAATTATAAATTAGCTAACATTTTTGAAAAATTTTTAAATTCTAATAAATATACAAAGGATTCTAAACAGAGTGGCCACAAAGCTTCTATTCTATGAAGCTCATAGTATAGACATAGTAGTCAACCAACAGTGTTTTGTATGCTCCATCAGTGGACAGGCTGCTTTTCCCTTTTGTTAGTGTTTTTAAGTTTGATACTATCACATAAACTTTATTTAACGAGTCTAATACCAATATATATGCTAAAGACATTGTGTATATTTATTACAAATGACTGAAGTGAAGATGTTCTCCGATTTATTCAATTGGAAAAGAACCAAGATTGGTATTTTTATGTATGTTGGTATAGGTATAAGAATCTTAGCTCAAATATGATATAGAGGGTGATTGGTTAACGAACAAATCAGATAACAGACACTTTCGCGAAAGATTTTTATGTTTGGATAACGAACATCCCACAGAACAAACACAAGAAGCAGCGATGTAAAATAATGAATGCCGATTGGTCGTCCCTTGTCTTCGGGCAACAATTTGAAACTTTTCAGAGTGAGAGAGAACATCGACTCTCAACCCAGTTTAAATTGATAGGATAGTATTCCTCTGAACTTTGAAACTCTCCCTTGTAATTCTAGCCTTTTATTTTTCTGACAGAAACAATTCTTTTATAGTATTCGCAAGACTGTCAGGTGGGCACTCGTTAAGTTTTTGTGTCTGTTTTTATTTTCAAAGGGTGAGAGTATAATAGCAAAGGTAGAGAGTGGGCAGATGTCTGATGTTGCTGGGCAGTATGGCTTGAACAGTAGACTGCAGTTCAATCTTATCTAAGAAAGATCCTGAATAATCAAGAAGACTAAAGGAGTAACAAAAATCACATCTGAGAAATAAAGAACATTGAATTGCTCATAATGGAACCTGAAACTGATCTGACGACAGAACACTAAAGGCTGTTATACACGGTAAGGAAATCCTTTGAGGATTAACCGTGATTTTTTTTTCTATCTATCCATTTTTAAATAAAAATAATTCTTTATACGTTGGGAGATATTTTAATAAGTTTTGTAAATTACTATGTTCGATCCAGCCAGTTATATCCGAGTTTTTTTCGTCTGTTAAGCACATCCTTTGAGGATTTCCTTACCGTGTATACCAGCCTTAAGAAACTTGGCAAGATATGTTTTTTTTCTGAAAAAGAGGATTAATGCCGATATCTGCTATTAAAGATCTTTTGAAGAAGTAGGAGGATATCAGAACAACAGTCTTATAGTCTATTTATCGAAACTTGGCACCTACTGTAAACAAAGATTTTGTCGTATTAATCCGCCAGAGATTTTCATTGGTCAAATCACAATTGGAAGTGGCTAGACATGTGTTGACCAATTAAGCCCTTTTCTCTGTACGTGTTAAAGTAGGTCAGAGTGGTCACAACAATTTAAAAATTACCGAGATAATACTTAGAAAAGTTATTATAGCCTACTTTAACATTTTTACGTAGCCGTTTAAATTATTTCCATCATTTAAATATAGTTTGTCAAAAGTTGTTATTAAATATATATTGTTAAGATTTACACAAAACATATTTATAATTGTGTAGTTGAACATACTTCAGAATTTTTAACTACACAACTATTTTATTAAATAGATGTAAAACAAAACAAAAAAATTCTCCAGCAATCCTTAAAAATCATATACAAACCTCTAAAGGAAAACATTACTGTAATGTATGAATTTATCTTTGTGATATTTATATAATTAAAAAATTTTTTAAATAATTATAGTATAAACTTACTTCATTAATCATCTGTATCAGAAGATAGTTGTTCAGATTAATCATTTATATCGCTTTTGTCACTACTTGTGTTCGACTGAATGATCAGTTTTTCTACAATAGTTTCTGAAATCTCATCAGGTTCCTACATTCGTTGTTCTTTTTCTGTATGTTCGATACATTTTGAAATAATGATAGTTATTGTAATGAATGGAAAACGAAACCAAGACATTATAGTGTGCATGACCATAGATAGATATAGATAGAAGTCCTTACCCACAGGTATAGCCAAGGCCAAATGGGGGAATAAAGATAAAGGAGAGGGGAAGGACAGTGTGCGTGACCAGAAAAGGTTTATTTTTAGTGATTCAGAGTGTGCAAGTATTCATTAAAATAACAATTTAACAAATATGAAATAATTACATTTATAATCATTGCTAAAGGACTCGTATTTCATTATTGATTTTACAAATAACAAAGAACTATTTTCTGTGGATGTGGGTTTAAACCAATAATCAAAGGGAGGTGTGTCTTACAAAGGGACCATATGGTCTGGGAAATTCAGTTCGGGGTGAGACTTTGCAGGCTCGTAGTATACCTCAAGGATGTCCACCCAGAAGAATTTTAAAGTGCACTAGCCAGAAGATTCAGAGAAAAAGGGCTTTAAAGTTTTAAGTGCAGCTCATATACTGGTCGATTTTACACTATGGCAGCACAGCGAAATGGCTGAATTTGTAGCGAACTCGCTTGCCATATGGGTGATCTAGGTTTCATCCTACCTTTGGCTAACTTTTTTTTTTTCAATTGTTTAAAAATTATAACAACTTTTAAATAAAGTTAATGACCTAAAAATATTATCAATTAATTAAACCATAAATAATTTTATTTTATTTATTAAATGACTGTTACTGCTAATTAAAATGTGAATTAATGATATAAAGATATTTTATTTTTAAAAAGTTGAATAATTTCAAATGCATTTTTAATGGAGGTAAATTAAAACTTTAATTACTATTGTCATTGAAAAGTTATTACAAATTTTAAGTTACTGTATTATAAGCTGTGGGGAGGTTAAGAATATTCATTGTAAATTTGAGGAACTGGTTTCTATGTGGAAGAGTAAAGTATAGCTGTTGATTATTATTTAAAAGTTAATTGATAATATTTTTAGGTCATTAATTTTATTTAAAAGTTGTTATAATTTTTAAAACAATTAAAAAAAGAAAGTTAGCCAAAGGTAGGATGGAACTTAGATCGGCCATGTGGCAAGCGAGTTCGCTACAGACTCAGCCATTTTGCTGTGCTGCCATAGTGTAAAATCGACCAGTATATGAGCTGCGCTTAAAACTTTAGAGCCCTTTTTCTCTGAATCTTCTGGCTGGTGTGCTTTACAATTCTTCTGGGTGGACACCCTTGAGATATACTACTAACCTGCAAAGTCTCATCCCGAACTGAATTTCCAAGCCCATAAGGTTCCATTGTTAGTTTGTTTACAGTAGGTGCCAAGTTACGATAAATAGACTTCAACCAGGTTGAGGTTAATAGGTTTAGGGATCTCTACAATTATAATGCTGTTGGGTTGATGCAAAAGTTGTCCTGTTTTTTTTTAAAAGAATTGAAAAAAATTTTATTTACTAATAATTACATTTAATGAATATAGTATGTGCCATTCTGTTCGATGACCTTTCTCCATATCTCCAGTAGCTGCATTAGTTTGTGCTAATAGAAGTTCTGAGATCTCTGGCTAAAAAGGTGATCCAAGTGATTTTCAAGTCTTCCAAGGAAGTAAAGTTTTTACCATCTAAGCTGTTTTGAAGTGATCTAACTAAATGGTAGTCAGAGGGTGCAAGGTCAGGAGAGTTTGGTGGATGGACCAAAACATTTCAATCAAATTGTAAAAATTTTTGTCAGGTGGCCAAAGATGTGTGTGGTCTAGCGTTGTCTTGATGGAACACAATGCCCATTCTGTTGGCTAATTCAGGTTGCTTCTGGTCAATTGCTCGCATTAATTCGCTTAGTTGTGAACAGTATTTTTCTGAATTAATGGTCTAATTTTCAGGTTACAGCTCATAATGAATGATTCCTTTCTAGTTCCACCAAATGCATAGCATAATTTTTTTCAGATTTTGCACTGGTTGAAGTAGTATTTTTGTGCATACACCATGATCTTTTACACTTAACATTATTATACACAATCCATTTTTCATTACCTGTAATCATCCGCATTAGAAATGGATCTATTTCATTGTGCTTCAATAGAGAATCGCAAGCAGAAATTCGATCTATCAAATTTTTTTCTGTTAACTGATGTGGCACCCAAACATCAGCCTTGCTAACCATTTCAAGTTGATGTAATCACCTTGACACTGTTGATTGATTGATTCCAAAAATTTCTTTGATCTCTTGATTTGTTTTATATTGTTTACTTTCAATTAGTGCCAATATTTCACTGTCATCAGCCCTAGCTGGTCGTCCAGAATGTGGTGCATCGCTAAGAATAAAATTCATTGTAAATAAAGACACCAGGAAGGACTTGTCATCTAAAGTTTTATTCTATAACGTAATAAAATGGTGGTTTTCAAAAGAATTTTTGGAACGACTGTGTCTTATTTAAAAAGAAAAAATTTGCCATCCGACAGAAATTTTATCAAAAAAAAGAAAATTGTTTTCATGAAACTTTCTGAACCATTTATGGCATGTGGAATCAATGGCTCCCTCACCATACACAAAACATATCTTCTTTTGCGTCTGCGAAGCATTCTTGTGTTTTTGGAAATAAAAAAGCATATGTTGAAAACGCTCCTTATTTTCTCTCATTTTTAATGTTTAATAAAATTTAAAAAACACCACTAAGTAACACAACTTCTCAAATACTAGCTGAAATCCCTTTTGTCAAACAACATCAAAATTTTACACGTGAAGGAAATAACACTTCAGTGTTGCAATGCAAAACCATGTGTTGCTAAAAATGGGACAAACTTTTGCATCAACCCAATATTAATTACTTCTAAAAAGTCCTGAAGAAGAGAGAAAAGCAATCGGCATTAGATGGATTCTTTAACTTCTACAAACGGAAAAAACATGACTAATAAAAAATGTGTATATGTGTATTTTTATTATTACACATAAATAAATGTAGTAAAAAAGTGTTTATTTTTTATTTGTTGGGGTCTCCAGAACGAATTAATCAAATTCCCGTAAAAACCTATGGTAAATCAATAATCGGTTAATGAGCAATTCGTATAGCGAACAAAGTCTTGGAACAGATTATGTTCATTAACCGATCACTCACTGTAATTTTAAATGGCAGATGTGATAAATTTCATCTTCATCTGATGGTTAAGTCAATTGGCCAACTCGTCGGCAGAAGGAAACAAGTTACTTTTACAGTTAGATCAAATTATTGAGCAGCATTACAATTTCTCCATCCAAAATGAAGAAACATGTGGTCAACTAAGAATATACAGAACTTTCTAATGAAAAGAGACTGGGTGGTTCTTTGAGATTTGTGGCATTTTATGAATATTTGTAATCTTGTGAAATAGTAAGGTTTTACCACACTGCATTGCTATGTAGCAAAAGGAAAATACAGTACATTCAGTAATGATAAGAAAAAATAAGACAGAGATAGGAAATAAATCACAATTAGAAAAATCATTGCTGTTAATAATTGCAGTGAAAGTCAATAAACTGGCTGATAGCAACTGTCACGAGTACACTGTTCAGAGGGCAAAAATAAAAAAAATTATGATAGTGAAATTGTCCGATCTAAAAGGAGTTCATAATGATTCACCACCATCAAAAAGATGATGATTAGAAGGAAAAATCAAAATTTTTGAGTGGACAGCATACACTTTTAATACACTTAGGGACTTTATAATTGATTTTAACTTATAAATGGACTTTTACTTTCCCGACTGTTATATAACAGGGAAAGTATGGTGATTGGTCAAAAAATATCTTCAGATTTTTCCATTTTAGACTCAAGACCTTGAAATTTAGAGAAATGCAAAAAAGTTGGGGTTATTTTGTATATATGGATGTTAGTGTGTTAGTGCATATCGATTACAAAATTCCACAAAATAACTATCTGATGTTAAAATTTTACAGAACATATATAAAACTAACTAGCAGAGCTGTCCATGCATTGCTGTGGCTCAAAATGTATCTATTATAAATGTATAATACTTCTCCACGGGGGATTTGGAAAAATCCCTTCTTAGTGTACTGTACATTCTCTTGATGTACCCTATTAGAAGGCAATCAAAAACGCAAAAATTCACATCTAAAATAGTATAATAGAAGCTGAGTTCTTCATGGTGAGGCTTAATCCTGTCCCTCTCCCCGCATGGAAAATTTCGACATCTAAATTATATAAAAACACATACGATTTCGAATGCAACATTGTGTCAAAATTTCAAAGCAATTGGTGAAGAACTTTCAGAGATTTAAGATTTTGAACAAACAAACATTACATTTTTATTTGTATAGATTAATTCCTCTTTAAACATCAAATTACCTTTAAAAATAATTCTAATATTTTTCTGATTAAAATGTATGCAGTAGTATTTCCGCTCTTACCACATAGTTGGATTGTGAGAAAATGTTCTTAAGAGAGCACATCTCCTGTAAGTTTAATGTCTTGAACCAAAGTTTCGTTCTCACAAATGTCTCTTGAACTATATGGCAATAGTCAACAAAAAAACAAAAAAATATGGAACTGTAAATACAATTTAATTAATTTTTAAACTTATATAGCTAAATATTTCATGATTTTACAGGCGAAAAATATTTGTTTAAGAAAAAATAAGACACACTAGTACAAAGTTAAAATTGTGTGTAGTGCCATCTGTTATGAGATTTTATTAAAAAATAACTTTTTATTATTATTATTAACTTGTGGAGGGGGAATTTCGATATGTATTTTATAAAAACATGTCCATATTCAAATGGAACGTTGTGTGAAAATTTCGAAGCAATTAATGAAGAACTTTCGGAGATTAGCTGTTAGGAACAAACAAACATTACATCTTTATTTATATAGATTGAAAAGTTGAAATTAGATTGAATTCAGCTGTAAAATATTTTGATTCTAAATTTAAAATTCTTCTAATTTTCCAAACAAATACATTATATAGAATCCTGATGTTGTGAACAAATATAATTTAGTGTAACACACAGAACATTATGAGCCTTTTGATATTAAAAGCACTTTTGCCTACTTTAAGGCTTCATCAATTATTCTATAAGATATTTGAACACAAGTGGGTATGCTAGAAATTTTTGTTTTTTGGAAAAGGGATGTTTAAATTTGAAAATACACTTTTCAAATATTTTAAAGAAAATAATATACAATAAAACTATAAATACAACAAATACTATAACAATTATATTAGCTCTAACTTGTATAAATATTTATTTTTCAGTATTGTAATTGGTTAAGATTTGTCAATCATAATAGTGAGTAAAAATTAATCTTAAATAATAACTTTTTCTTTCTATTTAGCTCCAAGACTCCTGGAGGAAGATTAGTCTATCTGTATCCAAAAAAACCCGGAAGTGTTCCAAAATGTGGTGATTGTAAACAGAAACTAAGAGGAGTAAGTACAATAGAGCTTGAACTATTGTCTTGATCTAATTTTATAATTATATATAATGGAGCCAAATCATTTTAATTATATATCAATATGTAGTGACAATGTGATAATTAGTCTCTTTCTTATCCAGTTATTAAATGAATGGTTAAAATCTTGCTTTTGAAATTGTGTGGAGATATTAATACTGGTGTTAACAATAAACAGATCTGTTTTCCTTGATGCTTTTTAATAATTTTTAGAAAATTAAATAATTAAGTGTGAGGAGCAAAATTATGTCTTTCAAAAAGATGATACCATTTTAATTTACTGTAATTATGTTATTATCTGAGAAGTATGCAATGTACAGTACTGTACATCAATTGATACAGTAAATATGAGTTTTGTCTACCATCTGCATACAGACTTCTTTTTGACTGCTGCCTCTAGGAAGTGTCATAAACAGAAGTGGCGACTCTGCAACACAGGTGATGTTTTGTGTTTTCAGTCTACAAAGTCAGAATCCATCATCATTGTGCAATAAGAATGTTTGCCTTATACGGTGAACACTTTGAAATAGTCTGTGAAACTCAAAATATCATATTGCGCAATGATGACTGATTCTGACTGTTGACTGCAGAACACAAAATGCTTTGTTTATTGCAGAGTTACCATTTTTGTTTACAGTTCTTCTTTGAGATGATAGACAAAAAGACATTCGAATGTGGGTGATAGACGAAACTTAAACAATTACTCTATTGATTGGTGTACAATGCGTGCTTCTGGGTAATAATTAGCATAATTGCAATAATTTAAGACTGTAGCATTCTTTTTCAAAGACCCTCTATATCAAATAAATTAATTTTTTACTTGGTTTTATGATATTGTTCGCTTAAAAAAGTATTGATACTTCAATCAATAGCATTGTTCTCTGTACACAGGAATATATTCTTATACATTTGTTTGTCATACATATGAATTTTTTTATATATATCAGTTTTGGACGAGGATCATTAGGAGTTGTTTGTGATACATTTTTATAAGAATTTAAATGTAGTAGAATGGTTACATCTAAATTAGCCTAATTAAAAGTTGCCTTTATTGTCTTACTTAATTATGTCATACTGTTATTTATAGTAACTGAATTTAAAGAAAAGTGTATGTTCTTATATATTTTATAGTGAAAGTGGATAGTCAGTGAATGTTCACCTTTACTAAAGTAATCGGTGAATCTACTACAGCACAGAACAGCCTATAGACATTGGCTGGCTGAATCGCGGTTTAAAATGCATTGCAAAGACGACGATTGTCTATTTCTGACCATTCTCTAAATGAACTTCGGCAAAACATTGGCTCTTACTTATTTCGCTATTACTCCCCTGTTTTAGGAGTTGTTTGGCCAATCGGGTTATTTGTTTGTGATGTCAGAAATGGTCGCCAGCTATATTCTGAAAGTTTCCAGAAATAAAGTCTTAAGGCTGTCAAAACCATTGTTCGGCAATTAATGGCAATCCTTTTCCATTTCGATATTTAATTTTGTCGCCAATACGGTTTAAAATATGAACAAATTGATATTTAGAAAATTTATACTGAATTCGAAACTCGTCTTTGGAATAGATTTTTAAGGAATTATTTCGACATCTTATTACTGTTGAAATGAATAGTTTTAAATATTTTATTATTAATACTACATTTTTTTATACTGTAAACAGATTTCTGTAATTATTAAAATTGTCTCATTTGTTTTAACAGTATAACGACTCTGAAATGCATTAACGTTTTATAACCGACACAATACTCGAATTGTAAACAGATGCATCTGATTTAAATTAATTGAAGTTTTAAGTCTTTGCCCATTTGAATATCGAAATTGGAACATTTAAAACAAATTTAAAGTATTTAATTTCGTTGTTTTTGCTCCAAGCAATTAATTAATGAATAATTTTGTTGATTCATACCATTTACAACATTTAGCATAGGAATATCTGTTTTTATCTAAACTTTTCCATGAACAAAGCTACCACTTGAATTGAAAAGCCCTCTAAACCTGCTGTCGATTGAGTCTAGAAAATAGGTCAAATAGTTTGTTTCTAATCGCTGTTTACATTGTGGCAGGCGAGAAATGCCGTCTCTGCAATGAAATTTTTCTGAACAGCAGTCTACCCAATCTGTAAACCGCCGTCAGTCTCTAAATGTTCTCTCTGTAATCAGCTGATAAAGTCTCTGTCATCTGTCCTTCCTTAATCTCAAGAATTGACTTAGATACATGAAAGTCAAGACCAGATATAGAAAGCTTATGGGCAAGAGGCCCTGATTAACTATGTATGAACTTCCAATTCAAATCAGAAGTCACATTTAATTAGATTCAAAACTTTTCCCCTGAAAGAATTTAGATAGATAACCAGCACAACTCCTTTGGAAAAGTATGGTGTACAGGGCAAGACACTACAGTAAGAATTTGAGGTGGAGAGGATATATTTTAAGTTAAATTATTTAAAAAAAAAAATATGGTTAAAAATTACAGCCCGGCATTGCTATTACGTTGCAATAAATAATTGCTTGTTTCAATTAAAATTTTACTACAAATAGAAATACTCACTATTGGTGCATAGAATTTGCATATGTAATACCTTTCAAAAATATCTCTAATTAGACTAGCATTGTCGCTGTGCTATAATCATTTCTGATAACTTGTCACCTTCAGTCCACATTAAGTTAAATTTGAAGAATTTTGTAATAGATCACATTCATTGTACAATCCACTTTCACTGTAACACAAATTAAATTTTGTTAACTACTAAATAGTCTAAAGATTAAATTTGTAAATCTCTTACATGACAGATTCAATAAGGATAGTAGCTAAGGAAAAATAATGTAGCATACAAGATTGAGAGTATGCTGTAATCAGGTTCTGTACTAATAGTTGACCTGTCAGGTGATATTTGCATTCATTACGTGGTTTTAAAAAAATGGCATTGCTCATATCAAACTTTCCCAGAATTAGACAGCAAGCTGTTGTTTGATTTTTGACAGCCAAAGGCCTTAGACCTAGTGTGATCCATGTCAGGATATGTGCACAATATGAAGTTACACACATCACTACAAAAAGCTTTCAAGTAGAAAGGCAAATAAACATAGACAATGAGCCACACAGACTTTTGAATCTAAGCCTTTTGTGATAGGAACAATTCTTCATATTGTGTGTTCTATATGTACACTCTAACGACTGAATTTTTTTTTTTTTTTTTGTCTTTACTGGATAATGTAAAGTTATTTGTTCTATTTTTGAGTTAGAATTTGAACATAATTTCATTCTATCAATGTTATTTATCGTCTTTATCTCAATTATTTTAGATTACTCCAGCACGTCCTCGTAAACTGATGTCTCTTTCCAAGAGGCACAAGACTGTAACCAGAACCTATGGTGGTTCCAGATGTGGAAAATGTGTACGAAATAGGTAACCATTATTCCTGTCCTTCTTACCATTCAAATTGGCTGCAATTATTACATGGAACATTTCTCTTTCAGAATCATTAGAGCTTTCCTCATTGAGGAACAGAAGATTGTCGTGAAAGTACTGAAAGCCCAAGAGGCTGCAGCAAAACAACAGAAAAAGGCTCTATAATTATGTATACATGAACTTTGAATTAAAAATTATAAGTTTAATGTACTTGTTTTTTCTGTTTATTTATAAATGCGTGATAATTTATTAATTATTTGTGCACACATTCATATCAGTTCATTTGTGTACTGTATATCTTCAGAATAGTATGATACATTTGCACTGATGAAGTTACATTTGGAGGTGTTCTATGCAACTCTGAATATTTGAATTACATTCAAAACGACAATGCATTTATTTTATTATTTGAACGTAGAACAACTATGACTTGATTGAATCCAACAGATTTTTGCATGCTTTGGTACATTAGCAAAGCATTTTGATGCTGTATTTTAAGCATGTCTTCAGTATAGAATGTGGGAAAACATGTAAAGCATTTAAATATACAATTATGTAGTTAGAGAATGCAATGAAGGCAACTGTAAATCTGTAAATAGCCAGAATTTTGAGATATGCTCATTCCACGAGTTAAGTGTCTATCTAGGTTTAAAAAAAATTATATATGAGGGTTGTTTGAAAAGTAGTGAGCCTACCTGCGAAGGAATTGTTAAAGCGGAATGAAGTTTGTGTCATTTTGAAGTGCAGTTCTTAACGTGTAATTCTTGCCTCTGGCTACCCCCTCCTGGAACACCAAGCACAGCAAAGGGAGAAAATTGGAACTTTGATTTTTCCACCAAGACTGCACTGTCACACTGCCCATGCCTCTTCAGAAATTTGTGAATATGTCTAAACTGTTAACCCATCCACCCTACTTGTTGGATTTGCACTTTTCACTTGTTCCCAATACTCAAATTACATGAAAGGATGGGTTTCAACAGTGATGTGGAACAAGACATCAACAGTGATGTGGAACAAGTGATGATCAAGACAAATTTTTTTTCCACTAAGGGTTTACAAAGCTGGAGCAGTGTATCATACTCCAAGAACACTAGAAAAGTTAAAGGGGCCTTTGCCTGGGACAGCATTACTATTTAAACAACCCTTGTACAGTACATACTGCTAATTTTCAGCATGATGCTTCTGTGAATGACAGTCAAATTTATAAGAGCATGAGTGAAGCCTTTAAAGTACGTCCGTACTTTTCAACTGATCGCGCAATTAAGTTAAATCGTAACCACTTAAATTTAAATCTGACCTACATTTACTATTAGATTGAAAAATATGAATAAATTCCTTTTATTTTGCCCCACTAGTCTGAGTACGAGTACTTTTAATGCTAATCTGTCCGTATTTTGCCTTCAACTGTTATGGTAACTATATATACGGTATAAATGTTCCAAGGAAGTGAACACTTCCTATTACTCTTAAAAATTGATTCAAAATAGAAATAATGGTTTTATTTTTTCTATTTTAAAATAATTCTGATGTTACCTTTTCATTAGCGTACCAGAGGAACTTTTGGTCACAACAGAAAAATTTAGTAGTGGGAACATTGAGTTAGATCCCTCTTGAATATTTGTATTCATTTGCAAACCCACAATGGGGGCATTCGGGCACAGAGTGTAAATTGGCAGTATAAACTCGCCCGAACTTGCAACAGGCATTCATAGTTCTGCATATAGTTCTTCACTACCTGTATTTGGCTCGATCTGTGTGCATCTATAGCAGGGGTCGCCAAACTTTTTTAACCGTAGACTCCCAACAACTTAACAAAACCTCACATTGACCACCACAGTTAAGTTTTATTACAAGTGCAAGTGTATGAGAAAAAAAAACACGAAAGAGAGACGATTTTACTATGCATTTCCTTTAATTTTACATACTTTACATTTATTTGTAACTCAATCAGTGAGACGGATGAGCTTGATGTTCCTTTGCAAGATTAGCAATATTTGGGTCAAAATTTGTTATCTTTAATCTTAAATCGCCTCGAAGTTCCACATTTAACTTATTTCTCTGGTTAAGATGGAATTAACATGGCTAAAACCAGCTTCGGCCATACTGTATATGAACTTGGAAATGCCAACAAAAGAGGATTTACAATATCACAAAGTTTGGTGTATTTTTTTGTTATGTTTACATTCGTCCAGAAATTGCTTAAAGTTAAATTTTTGAAAAGCGTTTTTGCTTCAAGGTCTTCTAATAATTCTATAAGTTCATCTTGCGGGTTGATGTCGACGTTTTCGATCTGAGCGGAAAATGGCGCCATAATCCATTCTGGGATATCGATATTTTCTAAATCTGCAAAACGCACTTTAAAATCATCGCCCAATTTTTGAAGATTTGTCTTCATCTATTATTTGCAATTTTCTTAGATTTGGAAAGTACTGAAAATCTTTACGTAACAATGAAGATTTAAACAAATTTAATTTAACTTGGAAGCCTAAAAGAATTGTCGGAGCTTGAATAATTGTGACATCTTCACCTTGGAGCCTTGTTTGAACGTCATTGAATTTTACAAATAAGTCCGCTACGTAAAAAATGTGGTTCTTATGTTTTTGTAGTTCATCACTCAGAACAGAATTTATTTCGGTAAGAAATTCTATCGTAGAATCAAATAACTCAACGAGTTTTTGTAAACATGCACCTCTAGACAACCATCTGACATCGGTGTGTAAAAGTAACTGGTTTGTTAATTCTCATTTTTCTCACAAAGTTTGGAAAACAATCTCAATTTAAGAGGGTGGGCTCTAATTTGATCAATAGATTTAATACAAAACTGTAAAGCGTTATGCAAATCTGAACTGAGATATTTTGCTACAAGGTGGTTTCTATGCAACACACAGTGAACAGTACGTATTCCAGGGACTTTTTCTTTAAGAAAAGTTGCAAAACCTCAGTAACAGCCTACCATAACAGGTGCTCCATCTGTGACTACTGATATTATATTGTTAATTGAAATGTCGTATTTATTCAAATATTCTTCTAAATTCCGATATATTGTCAGACCTTTTCCATCACATTCAAGATATTTAGCAAATAAAAATTCATCAATGATTTGACATTTACTTTTACTAAAATATCTGACGTAAACCATAAGAAGAGAAGAAACACCAAATACAGACTCATCAAGTTGAATAGAAAATTTGCAATTTTTGAGCTCTGAAACTACTATATTTTCGACGTTTTCGGCCATTTCGTCAATACGCCGTTTTACTGAATTCGCACTTAATGGTAAGCACTTTAAAACATCAACGGAGTCTTTTTTCATTACATTTTCAATGACATCTTTAATTGCAGGTACAACTATATCTTCTGCAGTTGTGTGTGGTTTTCCCCTTTTTTTGCTATATTGAGCGAAATCTTGTATGAAGCGATTAAATCTCCTTCAATATCAATTATAGAAGAAACAGACGGCTTCATAAAACTTTTTATATTTAGTCGTGTTGCAAATTTTCTTTTAAGTGTTTAAAAAAATCAAGATCTTTATCCTTTTTATCAGAATGAACTCTCTTAAGATGATCTTTCATTTTAGCTGGTTTCATCGCATCATTTATAAAAGTTTTCTCACAAAGAAGACACATAGGTATCGTTTCATTTGTTGGAGAAGGAATAAATCCAAACTTTAAATAATCCAATGAATATTGTCGACATTTTCCTTTTAGAAACTGAAGCTGCCATTGCAGAATTAGGATTCTATAAATAATAAAAGAAATGAAATTACATCGTATCAAGGTGAACAAAAGTAACTACGATTTTCTAACCCAGTTTAGCTTGCCACCGCTTCATCAATCTTAACATTTTTGGATATTAAATCCAATAAACGAGGCGTTGCTGCTTTAGGCGTATACTGTACTTATTTTTTTCTTTTAACCCTTGAGAGATAGTAGTAATGAAAAATCTTTTCTAATTGCTTCATTCCAGGAACCCCGACCTTCCTCGAAACTTACTTGTAGAAGTCCCGCAAACGTCGACAGGACTAATTTTCTAAATTTTTTCCCCCGATTCGCTTTCACTCCAACATGAATATTTAAAATCAAAAATTAAAAACAAAAATAATTTTTTCAGAGCGTAATTTTGAAAATTAAGCGGGCATTAAGGGGCAGCTAGTGAGCAGTGGTTGGGTCACTAGTGAAGCAGTAGCAACCGAAACTTGGTTAGAAACTTCTAGTAGTTACTTTTATTCGCTTTATAGAACGCTTTACAGTATTTACGTGGAATACTAAAATTAAATGAACAGCGTCTAAAAACGACTATAGAGTTGCTAGTCAGCGTACTGAGAATACAAGCTTATGAATGCTACGAATGCTTGACGTGCTATGTAAGTAAGAACCGGAGCACGGACTCGGCAATTTTTGCCCGTTCATCCGTAGCCATTTTACACGTTGACAGGTAGCTGTACTATTATATTCATTGAAACAATAATATGTACAGTTAAATTTGTGATTTTTAGTTTCAAATTTTCCATCTACCCCCAATTAACCCCCTAGCCGCATCGACTCCCCAATAATGTTACATCAACCCTTGGGGATCGATATCGACCACTTTGGCGACCCATGTTCTGGCTCCTTGGCACATCCCTTGACTAAAAAGAAAATGGCGGACGTGTATTTAACTATTTTTAAACATGTTGTCTCTACAGCCATTCTATGTAGTATATTCTAGCTCGTTGTTTTCAAGTTTCTTTTATAACCTCAGCACCAAAGCATACTTCATTAACATTCATAAAAATTTATCTTTCTCGTAAAAATTTCATATTAGGAAAAACAAAAAGAAAATATTTTATTGCCGCTGTGTGATCTTACAACTTCGCGAACGTGAAAGAGAAACGATAACGCCAAGCTACAAAACTTGCTTATGTCATTAAGCGCTCAATGTCGATTTTTCTCTAAAATGCTTGAGAAGTTATGTACGACGTATAACAGATTTAATACTTTAAAAATTATCTATTTAAATTTTTATGTAATAAAATATAAATTATAAAATTAATTCTGATTTATCTTTAAAATATTGACGAGAAATTTACGAAATATTTGAATTTTTTCCATTTCTATTCGCCAGGGGGATAAAGTTGCAAGATGGCGGCTGCCGGCGAGGAAGTTCTGTTCTAAGTCTGTTTAAAGTGAAAATAGAAAGCATGATGTCAGTTTATAACACAGCTCATCGTTTGGATGAGAAATGGAGATCAAAAGACATCAAATTGCGTGAAGATTTAGATTTTTCTGCTTTATTATTGTCAGATTTGGTACAAGCTGGTTTAACAAATTCTGGATTCATAAAGCCCTCTCCTATCCAATTGAAAGCTATTCCTTTGGGTAAAACTGGCTTAGATTTGATCGTTCAAGCTAAATCTGGTACTGGAAAAACGTGCATTTTTGCGGTTATCGCTCTCGAAAATCTTCTCTTAGAATCACAGTCTGTTCAGACGTTAATTTTGGCACCAACGAGAGAGATTGCTTCTCAGATATGTCAAGTTATCACTTCTATAGGCTCTTCCTTTCCATCATTAGGTTGCCATTACTTTATAGGAGGTTTACCATTATCTGAAGATAAAGCTAAACTCAGGAAGTGCCACATTGCAGTTGGGACACCGGGAAGAATCAAACAGCTTATTGAAAATAAATATATGAAAACTAACTCTATTCGTTTGTTCGTGCTAGATGAAGCTGATAAGTTACTGGATAAAGACTTTCAGAAATGCATAAATTGGATATATCAGAAATTACCACTTAATAAACAAATGTTAGCTCTTAGTGCTACTTATCCAGAAGAATTAGCAAAGTTACTTACTCAATATATGAGAAACCCTGCATTTGTCAGGTTGAATATGCATAAACCTGCGTTAATTGGTGTTACTCAATTTTATAAAATAACACAGTTTCACCCTTTATCACATATTGCCTTTCAGCATAAAATTGATGTTCTGCTGCAAATATTGAAATCCGTTCCATTTTCACAGTGTCTTGTGTTCATTAATCTTCAGATGAGAGCTCAATCTTTGTGTGATGTTTTGAAGAAACATGGGTGGTTGGCTCTGTTTATCTGTGGAAATCAGACTCAAGTGCAAAGATTGGCAGTGATGACTCGACTGAAAAGCTTTCAGTGTAGAATACTTGTGACGACAGATTTGACGGCAAGAGGAATCGATTGTGAAAATGTGAATATGGTGATAAACGTTGATCTTCCATATGAATTGGAAACTTACTTTCATAGAATAGGTCGTGCAGGTCGTTATGGGTCACAAGGACTTGCCATTTCTTTAATTAGTGAGGGTGAAGAGAAAGAAAAATTTTTTAAAATGAAAGAAACTGCATTCTTAGATATCTACGATTTACCTTCTAATCTTACTGCCAACATTTGGAAATATAATAATTCTCAAGATAATCAATTTAACGAAAAGGAAGAAATTGACAATACCATTTATATATGTAAAGAAGACGATTTTAATTCTGAAACGTGTTCAGAGAAAAGTTCTAAAGCCAGTACATGTGATGATAAATCACAAGAGATAAATGGTAATTTTTGTGCCAAAAAAGAATTTTCAGGTGACAGTCACAATGATTGTAATGAAATTGAACAAAATTTAAATGCTAATGAACAGTGTTTAGGTATTAAAAATCAAAATGTGATTAATGATCATTTTACCTGTGAATTAAATGCAATTGTTGAGAATGTTAATTTGAAAACTGACTTAACAAATTCTTTAACTGTTGAAAATTATGCTAATAATGGAATATGTGACGACACTTCTCCTAAAACCCTATCAGAAAGTATTGTTAATGATAACAGAGATATCAATCAAAGATTTTCTGATACTGATAAAGTTTTGAAAAAGCCAGATGATTTAGAGTTAGACATTTCTTCATTTTACAGGCCAGTTTTAAAAGATGAAGACATTTCCTATGAAAACTCTTTGATTGAAATTAATAGTACATCCAATAATTTTTCAGTTGACGAGAATGCCAAACCTAATTTAACAAATGATCATATTTTGAAAGTTATGATTTTCTTAAAAGATATTAATAATAAGTATTGGAAATGTGTCTCAGACAAAAAAGAAGTAGGTGAGGTAATAGATCAAAAAGAAGAGAATTTAATAATTAATACATCTAAAAGAGAAAATGAAAGCAAGCAGATGAGTGATGAAGCTAAAATACTGTTACCAAATAATTCTGTTGAGAGTCAGTATGAAAATTGCGAAATTATCACATATGAGGATAAATGCATTTCTGCACAAGAGGCCGATATTTCTTCTAGTCTGAATTCATCAGGTTCTTTAGAGTCGTTTGCTCTATTTGGTAAATTTACAGAAACGAGTGACAGTGGTGACAATTTAAGAATTAGTTTTCAATCAAAAGATTCGAGTTTCTCAGAAAGTGAGTATGACAATCAGCACGAGTGTACGATTCTGTTAGAAGAATTGAGGAAGAATCAAAGTATAGCAAGTTATAGTAAAGATTCAATAAAATCAGAAAAATCTGATCGTTCAAAGAAGTCCAAGTCTTGTTTTCAATATTCAGTGCCAGATAAAGAAGTTTATGAACAAGTAGATAGTGCCAACTATTGGGATTATCAACACGAAGATCAAAAAACATCCAAAAAACAGATAAATAAGCAGAGATATAGAAATCCCTGGGATTATTCGAGCTACTATTATAATTCTTATTACTATAATTCTAATTACAATCCTTGTGTATGCTACAATTCTTACACATCTTGCAGTAATTGCGTATGCTGCGAAGATAAATTCCAGTCTCAGAAATCCTTTCAAGTAGAATGGATGCAACGTTATCAGTATTACATTTCTCAGATGTTATACTGGAGGAGAAGCCAAAAATGTGGAAAGTGCTGTAAGGAATAAGTAAAAAATATTAAATATAATTTTTCTTTGTTTAAACAATTTTCCATTAAAGAATGTTTTATAACCACTTCAAAACTGTACTAATCCTCAAAAATTTGAGTTATTTTTCATTTAAAATAAAATTTCTTAATATGTAAAATCTTGATGTTATCAACAGATGGCAGCACTAAGTACTTTTAACGATAATTTTTGTAAAATGGGAAACATCTAGAAAGTTCATAAATCAATAATTTAACCAGATTATAAGCTTAACGGATCTATTTAAAAATAGAAAATGCGGAGATAAATTAAGAAGAAAAAAAAATTAGTAATTGGATAACCGATATGACTATACAATCGATACTGTTATCTTCGGTATAAACAAGAGTATCAAATTATATACAGAATCAAACATCACGCCTCCCACTTCACTAATAATTTCTTTTAACATTAAGAACCGCTTTCAAGTTTAAATCGATGTTTTACAATAACGGAAGTCATTCTGCCAAGAATAAGAACAACCGACCGACTGTATTTTCCTATCTTGACACTTGTGGCGCTGTAGTGTCGCTGAAAGATCATAATTGCGTAACTATAGCAACCAAACTGACATTTGGGGGCGCTGTCGATGGCTTTTATCCATATATAGCTATACAAAGAGACCGCGAAAGTGACATCAAACGGAGCCGCTCACAGCGACACCACGCGAGATCCGAAACTATTTATAATGCTTTTTTCCCGACAGAATTTCGTGATTTTAACGAAAATTAGGACCTTTTTTTTTTTAAGGTTTTAACGTAACAAATAGCAGGTGCTCGACCCGAGGCGAAAGGGAACTGAATGTAAATAACTGCGGGTCACCAATTTCCGTCTCGTTATCTATTTACGGCTGTTAAACAGGCTATTATAGTTTAAAAGTATTTAAAAATTTTCTATTGTTTGGCCCGCTTTTTAACAGGGGCGTTGGGTTCTACAATACAAGTTCTGAGAAAAAGTTGCTTATGGTCAATATGAGGTTAGTGATGAGATAAGACCATCTAAACATCTGTTGACAGGCCAATTATGTCCGATTTTAATGTCCCTTTCCGGAACTAATTTTGGGTTTGATTGTCCCGACGAGCGTGTAGCGAATGAGTAAAGATATGCCATTCACGTGTGACCATACCTTTCGTGATATTAGGACCCTTGTAACTTAAGGGAATTTAATGTGGAACGATAATGCCCTTTCTAAAATTGTCGATTGTATTCTAGAAGAAAAATCGACACTCAATCAACTTCGAGGAATGCTTGTCATAAAACTCCTGGGAATTTTTTTCGGCCCATAAAAGTTACAATTTTGATATGGATTTTATATAGTTTAAGCGAAAGAATTGGTGCACCCATCGTCGTGCGTGGAGTATAGAGGGAAGTTGAGTGAACCGAGGGAGGAACTGCAAACCGGAAATCTATGTCTCACACTCATACTAAATACAGATATTGTTATATGAACTCAAAGGATATGCCGATTTACTCGTAAATAGCGTTAAATATAATCTAATTCATTTAAAATTTCATACGCTAACGCCTACACAGGGTCACATCAATAGTGAGTACAAGTACTGTTGTCAGCGTGCTACGGGCTCTCCCCCCTTTGTAGACAAGGTGAATTGTACCTCACCTCAAGGCCAAGGAGGACAACTGGGACCAGAAGTTCTTGTGAACGTCAACATTTCTGGCATACCTGAAACGAACCGCCTGTGGGTTTGGTGTTTAAATAAATGGATAGAGCAAACGGGGTAACTAGAATAACGTAAAGGGGGTGAGGACGATTTTTACGTTATTAATTATTACGACAATAACAGGAGAAAGAAATTATACGGCTAAAGATAATCCAAATACCATAGAGTGGCCAACTAAATATCGAACTTTCGGTTAAGTGGAGAGAAAACTTTTACTTCCTCACCGCTCAGGCCTCGTAATGAGTCACGAGGATCATTAATTATAAAAATAAATGAGAAAAATTGTACATCATTCCAGATTATAATTACACACCCGTTAAGAGAACGAATCATGATAATTATTGTTATTTACTACGGCGAAACGTTCGAAATTTACGTGTATTTATATATACTCTTCCCACCTCCCCCTGCTTTAATAAAACTCCTCTTCTTAACCTTGAGCCAGGAGAGAGAAAAATCGGAATTTTTGTTGTTCTGCCAGAAATAAATTTGGGTTACGTGGCCGAAACCACTTGATAAAGCTCGTCACAAACCATCCCAGCGGAAGAAAAATCATACAAAAGCGGAGAAAAAATACTTTAATTTAAAGAATTTAAACTTATCTAATAGTAAAACCAGAAAAATATGATTAATTTTAACATTTTTTAAAGCAATTTCGGGTGAAATTCGTAAAGTATTTTAAAGAATATCGTATAAATTAAAACGCGCGAATGGCGTAAACTTTCCATGTTGGCGCGCAAAGTCGCGAGCGTTTAAGCGGTTTTAATATTTAAGAATTCAGCGCGAGTGGCTTTAACAAAAGTTGGAAGTTCACGGAAAACCTGTTAGCGAGAAAGATCCTGTCGAATGCAACCTTCCTACCAGTCTCTCTCAACCTCACTCCGCCATGTAAAAGGAAGGTCAGAACAACGCTGATTGGTGGAAAGGGTCGGACTCGATTTCAACGGGATCTGATTTGTTCGAAAGTTGAACAGTTGCGAGGAGTGTGCTGTTATGTCGGCAGCGGCGTTACAAAGCTGTTCGTGTGGTGCAAAATAACGTCGAATCAAAAAGAGAGTTAACACGCAAAATAACATGCCGCACGCCGCGGGTGGTGGTGGAAGCGACGATTTCGCTTCCGACGAGATCAAAGTGTTTAAACACGAAGGTGAAGAAGAAGAAGAGAAAAAGACGTCGTCGGAAAACTTAACCGATCTCAAGTCTAGTTTGGTTACAGAAGGCGAAGAGGTGAGTGCACCCTTCCTCTCTCTCTCTCTTTCCATATCTAACCTCCCCCCCTTTAACTATACCACAACATCCCCCCCATTCCTCGTCTCAACTTATAGTTCTTACTTGTAGAACTCGTCGCTGCCTGGTCAAAGTTATGTGAATAAAGCTGTAGTAGAACCGTCTAGGCAGGATTCTTCTCCAGTTTTGGGTGAGTGATCTCATTTTTTTTTCTTTATTTGTTTATTTTGTTTTCTCTCCTGTTTTTTTTTCTTTCTTCCTCCTATTTGCGTATCGTAACGTTACTCAGGAAGTAGATCCTGCTGCGCCTATTAGTGATGGCCTGTGCTGCACCCTTATTATTTTTGCTCCTCTATTTTTTGTGGTAAAACGGATCAAGCTATTTTCTTGTTCCGTTTTACCCCGTTTATGGGGTTTTTTTTTTACTCTTGTTTCTTTTATTACCTGAGAAATTAATGTGGTTTTTGTTGTTTTATTTTTTGAGTCGGGTTGGATGTTGGAGGATCTGATTCCGTCCTTGAGGATGCGGTTGTGCCGGGAACCCCCTTCTTTAGAGTTAAATATTGATTATTATGAAGCTCGATCTTTGGATACCGAGGGTGCACTCTGTTCTTTTCCTTGCAAACTTTTTCGTAGATTTAAATACCGTTATCGTGAAGGCTGATCCTTTGATACCGAGGATGCACTCTTTTCCTTGTGGATAAAATTGCATTGCAAACCCTTTCGTTGATTTAAATAGTGTTACTGTGAAGAGTATTTTGAGGATTTATCCCCGTGCTTTGCAGATAAAGCTGCATTACAAATCCTTGTTGTAAAGTTAAATATTGATTATTATGAAGATATCCTTGGATACCGAGGGGTTCGCTCTTTTCCTTGCAGACAAAATTGTTTTGCAAACCCTTTCGTAGATTTAAATACTGTTACTGCGAAGGGCGATCCTTGGATTCTGAGGATTTCACTCTGTGCTTTGCAGCTAAAGCTGCATTACAAATCCTTATAAAGTTAAATATTGATTACTACAAAGCATGACTTTCTTAAAAATAAACTGATAAGGTTAGATTTTAAAAATATCATTCCTTCCTTTTTTTTTTATCTCTTATTGCGACTGCCGGTTGAGTTAAACTTTCTCAAACTCTTTAAAGACAAAAACTTTACTTAGATTTAGAAAGCGATACTTCCGAAGATTCGCTTGACTGTACGGTTAGAATTCTATGTTTCGTTACTTTATTTATAGTAAATAATTTTAAATTTAGATGTAACTGTAGTGTATGATACTAGATATATTGCCATATTCCCAGAGAGAAAATGAGGACTGTATACAATAATAATGAAGAGAACAATAGAAGCACTTTTGGACACTTTACTATTATGCAATTACTGTCTAGATTGTCGAGATATCTTCAATGACCCATAGAAGTGGAGTTTGGGTGTCGTAAATGCAGAAGAGAGTTAGGAAAATTAATGCCGGGTTTACGAAACCACATAATTGCATTGCGGATCAGTTGGTTTGAAGTATTCGAATAGTGTCTTGTTCTTAAATTTTCTCAAAAGAAAATACGGTATTTTATTTTGATAATTTATGTGTGAATGAAAAACGATGCACATTTACACTACGTAGATAGAAAAGTAATGATTGTAGTTATGCTAATTTAGAAATTAATTAGGTAATTCTACATTCAAACAGTGTATTTATTTAGTGACCAAAATTTATTTTTTAGGTTGAAAATGCAGGCTAACAACTTTTGTCATTTATATCTTACTTGTCGGGACTTTTGAATATCGTTGCAAACAGTTACATATAAGTCTACTCGATTTAAATGATTCTGATTTGGAAGCATATAAAGTAGTAAAACTACTCGGTATATTGTCAAATATAGTTTTAGATAAATTAATTTTTAAAAATAATATACGTCAGCATGTCTGACTTGTATTTTGATACGGTAACAATAGGACACCAACACTAGTTTGTAAAGCTATGGAATTGCATGTATAGAAATGGGCAATAAAAAAAAATAACTTTGTCATTTGGCGTGACAGAAAATTGGCAGCATGTTTAGTAAAAGTTGATTTTAATTGACATTTTTAATGATGGTTGTATTAATTTTGATTGTGGCAACATCAAAATTTATACAATTATTATTAAATTTCAACGTAACTCAAAGTGGTTGATAGATGTATCAACTACTTTGAGTTTGAGTTACATTGAGTTTGATTGTGTGGCATTGTTAAGCACACACTCAAACTCATTTTTATATCTAAGAGCCAAATTATAATTTATCCCGTTTGCCATAGTTATAACTTTACAATTATCTGGTTTATTTATGAGTCAAGTCTCATGTTATTTATGTGAATAAGAAATTTTTGATGAATTAACTTACTTAAGAGGATTTAAAGAAAGAGTTATATCAATATAACAATGTGAAGATGAATTACATATCATAAGAGAAATTTTCTGTATTAAAGTAAACAGTAAATAACACGCAATATAAATAGGGAATGATAATTACGATAATGTTCTTCAATGGGTCTGACAACGAATGAGAGACAATAGAAAAACTTTGCAGTTTATGAAACAAAGAACAATTTTAAAAATCGTTCTTCATTCAGTTCGATAATTTGCTGCTAAAAATTGTTTGGCTGATATTAAAAAATAATCTCTTTTCAAAAATCGTATTCTATTCAGTTGTTGAAAATATAAGAATCTTAATAAGTTTTGTAAATTTGGCAAGAAACCATATGAGAGATACAAGAGATGAAATTTCATTTAATTAGGTACTAAATATGGAGTCTAAAGCCAGTTAATCATTGTAAAGACTGAATTATAATTTTATTTAAATACAATGCACTCTTGCTAATCCAAATTAATTATATGTAAAATTTAGAATGTGTAAAGAAAAGGAAGCCAAAATAGGCCAGAGTACATTATATATTATTATAGATAATCCAAATAAGATTGTTTTTATTTAATTCAGAAATTACAATGGTTTAACAAACTTTTCCAAATGTGGTTAACTGACTTTTGGGATACGATGTGCATTGCACTCTAATCAGATTCATGTGTACAATTGAAAATGAAAGCTGCCTGTCACGTATATCCCGACTAAATATCAATTAAAATTTATTTTCATATACATCTTGGAGTTTGATTCTGCAACAAGTTCTGATCTGGTAGGATCTTTTATCAATTTTGAGTCATCGAAATGTTTAATTGTGAGGATATAAGAACATAAAAAGCAATATATTGTTTGAACAAGTTAAAGATCTCATATTGAGAAATTTTATTGTCTTAAATAAGATTTATTTTTATTTAGTTAACATTCAGATTAAATCATTTGATCCTGGTGTAGCTTTGTAAAAAAAAATCAGTTATGTCTTCATTAAAATTTTGCTGTTGTTGTACGTCAGTAATGAGTAAGATTTCCTGTTTGTCTGACTCTATGTGAAACTGTAACTTATATCAGTGTTTTTTTAATCTTGTTGAGATAGCGCATTGATTATCACTTTCTTCATTTTGCTTTGTCTACATGAAAAGAAATTCTTATTTTTGAGCAATTTTAGAAAATAACATTACACAGCAGAAATTGATTGATATATTTATATTTAACCATTTTCTCGTACTCAAGTTCTTTCATATTTAAAAAAAATATAAAAAATTAAAAGAAAAATACTTGATAGGATGTACTCTACCTTAAAGGTACAGTATGTAGAACTTGCAAGGTGTCATCTTTAGATATAGAAGACTTGAAATTGTCAGGTTTTAGAATTAATTTTCTGTTAAGGCTCCAATTTTGATTGAATAATGAAAGATCTGCAATGTATCTTCACATTTTAACTTGTTATTAAATTTAATATTTAAATTTTTTTAAGCCCATTTAGTTCTAGATGTAAATTATCATTTTACATTAAGATAGGTACTGGAGATAATAATTATTTATTAATAGAAAGTGGGAAATGTATCGATTCAAATTTGTTTAATAGTTTAACAAACATTTTAAGATTTTCTCTGAATGTTGTCCATTCTTTAAGATGTTAAAATTTAAGTCAGAAAAGCCAAATCATCCAGAGTTAAGAGTCTAAAGAATGACTAAATTTATTGTCAGACTTATACGATTCAATAAAATGCCATTAATATCATCTATATTATTAAACATAAGTTATCTTCTGTATAGAGCAACTAACAAGAGAATTAAAATAAGCGAATACTGTACTAAATCAGTTGAATAAATGTGAAATATTTGCTTTATATTTGGAAAATTGTCATTTTTCCGACAGTTTCTTTTATTTTATTATCTAATCCAAAATTTGTGATTTTATCCTCGAGTTCTTCAAATGGTTTCTGTGAGACTATTGTTCCTGATTAACCAATTTTCCTCTTTGCAGGATGATCTTTTGCTTTTCCATCCGTACCATCATTGATTTTGAAAATTGCTTTCTAATTTATAAATTATCTTTCTTATTGTTAATAACTGCTTCCTTATAAAAAAATCCTCATTTGGCATGGTTTATTCTGCTAATGGCTTCTTTACTGCCTCCTCCACAAACTGTTGTTTTTATTTTAAAGGCACTTAAATAGTTCCAATTGTTTCGATTATGTATTGTCCAAAAATATAAAACTATTCCATTATTAAGAATTATTTTTATATTAATTGATCTTAAAACTTTATTAGCAATTTATTTTGTTGAATTATTGCTCTATTTAATTTGCATCAAAGGTATCGGTAAAGAGCACTATTGTTGCAATAGGAAGCTGAACTTAGTACAGTGAAGCACTTAAATGGAAAAATTATCCTTTTGTTAACAATTGAATGTTACCAGATATTTGCAAAAGGGACATCCTTGTTTAAAACTGAAAATTATAATTGTTGGAGTAATAAATGTTAATTAGTAAACAATTTGCTTGAAGAAAGGATATCTTCATTTATATCAATAAATTAAAGAGTAAAATAGAAATGTATAATCTCAATGTAGATATCTGAACTATAGGGTTTCTCACTTAAATCAGCCTGACTGATACAATGAATCACTAATGAAGTAAATTTTATAGGAAATTTTGATGATACATTAGTGCTGTCAATTTTATGGGGATATTTAAAGGAAAAATGTATGATATTAATCCTAGAACTATATGTAAACTGAAGAAAAGTATTTGCAGCAACATTAAACTGTTGACATCAGTATTTTATGTAAGGT